AAAAAAAAAAAAACCGAAAAACACAGTTCTCTATATCTATAAAATCATTTTGAGAATGATAGGTAAATCCAGTCATGGAGTATGCAGCCTTTTGAGATTAGCTTTTTATTGCTTAGCATAATTCTCTTGAAGCTTATCCAAGATGTTTTATGTATCAAGTTTGTTCCTTTTTATTGCCGAGTAATGCTACATTTAGGAAGGTTTTTTGTTTTTGTTTTTTTTGAGACCAAGTCCAGGCTAGAGTGCAGTGGTGTGATCTTGGCTCAATGTAACCTTCACCTTCTAGGTTCAAGCGATTTTCGTGCCTCCCAAGTAGCTGGAATTACACGCATGCACGCACCACCATGCCCAGCTAATTTTTGTGTTTTTAGTAAGAGATAGGGCTATACCATGTTGGCCAGGCTGGTCTTGAACTCCTAACCTCAAGTGACCCACTTGCCTTGGTTCCCTACAGGAAGATTTTTTAAAGCTGCTTAGAGTTGGTGATTCATGGAAGGTCTGATTGTTTTGCAGTAGATAGGTGGGGATGGAATTAGAAATAGTAGCAGTGGGCATGAGTGGTTTCCTGCAACTCTTAGTTCTCAGTAGATTCTGTCAGGAGGAGGGCAGTTGACCTTGTGGGGGATTCATGTAGATACCCCTATTGGAGAAGATACAGTTAAAAATAAGTCCAGATGTATTTTCTTCCAACTTGGTGTATGTTTTGTATGGCCTGTGGAGTCCCTTGACTTCTGCTGGGTGTGCTCTGTGAGCTGGTGGGTAAATTAGACGGATTAGGATCATCTTAGTGGAGCTCTAAAAACAATGAGGTTGAAGCACATCCTGATTCTTGTCTTGAGCATTTCTGTTAGTCTGGAGCTCATTTTCTGCTTTTCCGTGACTTGTCTCAAGCCTGTTGATTCATGCATCTCAGGACCCTCATTAGGAGATGGCACTGAAATGGTTCTCAGTTGCACTTATCCCTTTGCTTGGGAGAAACGCAGTAGGCTAAACTAAGTTGTTTTTAATCAGGGTTGTTCTCTTGGTAGGCCATAGGTGATAGAGATTAACCTTTACCCAGGAAGGTGAGGGCAGAGCAGTCTAACCAGTAGGGCATTGGTGTCTGCTGTGGGATCCTTCTTGGGTAAGTAGGGGTTAGTGATAGGCCAAGGCAGTGAATCTCCAAGGGCAGAGCTCTGTTCAGGGGCTGTAGGGGTGTAAGGCAAGAGTATAGCCCAGCTAAGGTGGCTGTCGTGTTTCTGGCCCCATGTCTCCTGAGGGAGGCTCGGATTGAGCCAGTGCTCCTACCTTGTCCCCATAACAGCTCCTCTCATTTGTTGCTCTTAGGAAGCCTGCGTGAGTACATTGGGAAAGTGTTTTCACAGTGGCCAATAAGACATTTTCCCAGGCCCAGTAGACATTTGTGAATCATTAAGGATCTATCCAGATACCTCTATGAATCTTAACACTTTTTTTGAGACAGAGCCTCACTCTGCCACCCAGGCTGGAATGCAGTGGCATGATCTCTGCTCACTGCGACCTTGGCCTCCCGGGTTCAAGTGATTGTCCTGCCTCAGCCTCCTGAGTAGCTGGGACTACAGGTGCACGCCACGATACGCAGCTAATTTTTTAAATTTTTAGTAGAAATGGGGTTTCCCATGTTGGCCAGGCTGGTCTCAAACTCCTGACCTCAGGTGATCCATCCCCCCTCAGCCTCCCAAAGTGGTGGGATTACAGGCGTGAGCCACCGAACCCAGCCCATCTCCACACTTTTGAATAACACTATAGGATAGTGTTATCAATATATCAATATAATACCAATATATCAATATAATATCCGTTATAAGTTAGGTACCATATAAGATATTTTCAATTACCATAATTAAAAATATTTTGGGAGGCCGAGGCGGGCAGATTATGAGGTCAAGAGATCAAGACCATCCTGGCCAACGTGGTGAAACCCCGTCTCTACTAAAAATATAAAAATTAGCTGGGTGTGGTGGTGTGCACCTGTAGTTCCAGCTACTCAGGAGGCTGAGGCAGGAGAATTGCTTGAACCCAGGAGTTGGGGGTTGCAGTGAGCTGAGATCCCACCACTGCATTCCAGCGTGGGTGGTAGAGTGAGGCTCTGTCTCAAAAAAAGTGTTAAGATTCATAGAGGTATCTGGATAGATCCTTAATGATTCACAAATGTCTATTGGGCCTGGGAAAATATCTTACTGGCTACTATGTATTGTGCCTGGCGACAGAGCGAGACTGTCTCAAAAAAAAAAAAAAAAAAAAATTTAGGAATCCTTTCAAATTGTTGATGAATTTATAAATATTAGAGTAATTTAAAAGATACTTAAATTAATTTCTCCTGTATCACATTTCTGTTTAGTGATTCAGATTTTCTGTTTATATCCTTATACTGTAAATTAATATGTTTGTGTCTCTAAAAGTTTGAAATTTTGTCTTGCTGAGAAATTTTTTTTTTTTTTTTTTTTGAAATATCCCAGGCTGGAGGGCAGTGGCATGATCTTGGCTCATTGCAACCTCTGCCTCCTCGACTCAAGTGATTCTTGTGCCTCAGCCTCCTGAGTAGACTACAGTTGTGTGCAACCATGCCCAGCTAATTTTTGTATTTTTTAGTAGAGACTGGGTTTTGCCATGTTAGCCAGGCTGGTCTTGAACTCCTGGACTCAAGTGATCTGCCCACCTTGGCCTCCCAAAGTGCTGGGATTATAGGCATGAGCCAGCATGCTGGCCTTGCTGAGAAATATTTGAATGGACTGAGGAATTTGCCAAAAAGTTTCACAGATACTTTATTTGGAGTGCGGGACAAACTGGCTAATACTTAAGATTCAACCCACTACTGATTTGATGGTCTTTTTAATTTATTCAAAAGAGCTCTTATTTTTTCTGGTTAAAGACCGCTTTCCTAGGCACCATGACTTGGTGGCTGTCAGTGGCAACTGACTTCCTCTTTGTGACCATCTTCCTCATACACAGCACTTACTTAAAGCTACTGTGAGTTAAGGATGTTGCTCATTTGATTTTACCTAACTGACTCTTTTATGTTAGATTTGTAGGATGTGTCATTTTTGGGCCTCAGGAAAGTAAATGACTAGCTTCTGCTTGCCTTTACCTTTTGGCTTTACTCCAGAATAGTTGAAATGAGGACTGTTACATTTCTGAATGTCAACATCGCTAGTGTATAATAATATAAGGAACAGTTTAGAGAATACATGAACATATTTTCTCTTGTGGAAAACATTAGGGTTGTGTAAAGGGTTCTTGATTAAGGTATATGGTGCAGCCTGCTTAGTCAACAGCAAAATGAGGAGATCACCTCTCACTGCACAAGTAAAGCTTGTGGACTGTAGTTCCTTGCACAGTTGGAACTCTGTTCAGGAATTCTGTCTTTTAAAAGATCTTTAGCAGATAACCAAGTCGAGAATAATGATTCACCTTCTTCATTTTCTGCATTCTTTCTGACTTCTTCACTTCCTTAGATCAGTGATTCTTAAACTGTAGCATGCATCAGAATCACCTGCAGGGCTCTTTAAGATACAGATCACTGGGTCCCAGTCCAGTGTTCCTTTTTCAGTAGATCTGGGTTTGGGCCCCAGGTTTTTCATTCCTAACAGGTTTCCAAAAAGTTCTGATGCTGCTGGTCTGTGGACCCCACTTTGAGAACCCTGTCCCAGATGCTGAATATCCCAGTCCCATGAAACCACTTTCTTTGATGCCAAATAAGGCAGGTGACTTAGGACATGTGAGCAGAGAAATCATGCAGAGTAGAATAAAAGGGAGTTTGTGGGGAAAGTGGGTCTGAAAGCTAAGGAAAGACTGACGCCAGCAGCGGTGGCTGACACCTGTAATCCCAGCATTTTGCGAGGCTGAAGCAGGTGGATCACTTGAGGTCAGGAGTTTGAGACCAGCCTGACGAACATGGTGAAAACCTGTCTGTACTAAAAATATAAAATTAATCAGGTGTGGTAGTTTACGCCTATAATCCCAGCTACTTGGGAGGCTGAGGCAGGAGAATCACTTGAACCGGGAGGTGGAGGTTGCAGTGAGCTGAGATCATGCCATTGCACTCCAGCCTGGGCAATGAGAGCAAAACTCCATCTCAAAAAATAAAATAAATTAATTAAAAGCTAAGGAAAGACTGAAAGAACATCCTGAATGTTAGAGAGTTAGACCAGTTAAACCTGGACGTCCTGCTCATGATACTTTGGTATCTTGTGTATTGATATACTTAATCTATTATGGATTAAGTATAACAAGTTCAAAGCATTGGTACACTACACAGAAAGTGTACTTTTTTCATTTTTTTTCTTTCTATGTTTTACAATAGTTGGCTTCCTGAAGCTCAGGTAGTCCAAAGAGCCCTGAATTCTGCAGCCAACAATGTGTACCAGTATGGACGAGAATGGATAACTCACAAGGTAAGGGAACAAACTTTCTTTGTCTCTTTCTCTTTTCGCGGTCTTTACTGGTGATTGCCTCTTGCTTTGATAAACATAAGTAGAAATGCTATTCACAACATTAAACAGGCTTAAATAAACAGGTAAGCAACATAGAGTTAAATCTTTTGAAATATCACATTGAATAGGGGTAAAAAGCAGCCTGAACAATTTGAGAAGTTGGTCATCTAGTTTTTCAAGATAGATCTGATTAACTACTTGTGAGTTAGGACAGAATGATCACTTGGTTTGGGTTGTCAAATGAGGCTTTGTGGAGAAAAAGGTATTAACACATATTAAATCTTGTCTGCTGATAACTATCTTTGGCAGTTTCCAGTTAGTTTCATTTAATCGTTTTTTTTTTTTTTTTTCGTTAACTGTTTCTAAGAAGCCTGCAGTAAGAATTATTTTGCCTGCTTTGCAGATAAGGAAACAAGACTCAGCAAGGCTGAGACAATTCCCATTGGTCATGTAGTAAATTGCAGAGCTTGGTTTGAAACTGAAGCTTAGCTCCAAATACTTTATTTCTACTGTAGCGTGCTTGCAGTGTGTGCCCAGAACTGGATTAAGTGCTTTGATGTGGCAATTGAGATAGACCTTGAAGGAATGGCAGATCAAGGAAGAGTGGATTTTAAGAAGAGTATCTGTGTGAGCCAACGTGCAGAGACAGGAATGTGCTTGAAGAGATGATCAAGATGCTGAGACAGGAGTGTGCTTGAGAAAGTGATCTTGACTGAAGTGGAGAGAGCTTTGTGAAGAGGAAATGAAAGATAGAGGAAGAGACAGCACAGTTAAGGATTAGATTTCACAATATGGATTTGGGATATTCTTTCCCTCCCTAGTATTGTGTATAGGAATAAAGGTAATTTATATTTTAATATACTGAAGTAATTAGGATTATGTAAGAATTGACAAGATTTGTTGCAGTGAGACTCGTGCCTAGAAAAAAAGTATTAGTATGTGATTCCATATTCAAAATTCTTTAATAAAAGGTGAAAGATTTATATGATCTGAAGAGAAATCAAAACATACATATTCAAAATTCAAAAACAAAATCTTAAAAAAATATTATGGAAGATACACTGTATACACATGTATGGTAATTTAATGTAAAGATGGAATCATAGTGAAAAGTTGAGAGAAAACTTAGTTATTGATTTTCTTGGGTCTATCCCCAGTAACTTAATGGTTACATGACAAGTGTTTTAAAATAAGTGTAATGTAAGTATGTGGATGCAGATCCCAGAACTATCATAGAAGGAAGATCCAGCCATTGCAGAAGTCTTTTAGCCTTCTAGAAATATTTTATTTTGCTGAAAGTATAGCATTTAATTCTTGATGTATCTCTTTGGGAGCAATTTTTATTCTGGAATTCCTATGTTTTTGGGAAGAGGATAATGACAAGGAACTTTGGGTAGCTGGAGGAATGTGCCTTAGATTTTAAAGATGTAAATTTTAAATTACTTAGAGAAAAGATAAGTTTGAAACCCTTTGCCCACAATTATGAAAGGGAAGGCAGCTGAGCAGTCATAGGCATTGATAACAAAAATTTTAAATATTTGCTATTCTGATTAGAAGACAGAGATAAGATCTAAAAAACAGTCGTTCCTCAGCTGATGAATGGATAAACCAATGGTATATATATATAATGGAATATTATTCAGCTACAAAAAGGAATAAAGTACTGATAAATGCCACAGCATGAATTAACTTTGAAAGCATTATGCTAAGTAAAAAAGGCTATTTTAAAAGACCATACATATATATTTTATATATATATATAATATGTATATATATATATGTTGATATATATATTTATATGACTTCATTTATATGAAATGTCTGAAGAGGCAGATGTATAGAGACAGAAAGTAAAGTAGTGGTTTCCAGGAGTAGAGAGGATTGGGGACAAATGGGAGAGTGAGTGCTAATGGGCATGGGGTTTACTTATGGGGTGATGAAAATGGTTTAAAATTGTGGTTAATTTTAAAACAAAACAATTGAAGGATTTTTTAATGGTTATATAACTGTGAATATATTAAAAAACCATTGAATTGTGTTATATCTCAATGAAGTTGTTAACAAAAACATTGAAACTGCAGGGATAGCTCAGTAGAGCATCAGATCTTATCCAGCTAACAATCATGTAAGAACTGGGTCATAAGAGCCTAAGTCTAGAGAGGGCTAAAGGTAGGAAAAAATGCCATGCCCACAAAAAGAGTTTTTTGGGATGTGTTTAGTTACGAACAAAGAAGGTTTCTGCCTGTCTGCTCCCAGCCTACTTTGTCAGCCTAATTGCCTACGTGTCTTACATATTGTTTGTGGTTCTACCCAGACTTCCGAGTTTGCTTTCCTTGCTGAATGTCCTTGTGAGCTATCCCCTCTGCTTAGCATACTCCTTCTGAGATTCCAAGAAATGGACAGCAAGGGCTGGGCGTGGTGGCTCGCGCCTGTAATCCCAGCACTTTAGGAAGCTGAGGGAGGCAGATCACAAGGTCAAAAGATTGAGACCATCCTTGCCAACATGGTGAAACTCCAACTCCACTAAAAATACAAAACTTAGCTGGATCTGGTGGCACATGCCTGTAGTCCCAGCTACTTGGGAGGCTGAGGCAGGAGAATGACTTGAACCTGGGAGGTGGAGGTTGCAGTGAGCTGAGATTGCACCACTGCACTCCAGCCTGGTGACAGAGTGGAATCCATCTCAAAAAAAAAAAAAGAAAAAAGAAAGCAAGAAAGAAAGTAATGTGTTTCCTCTGTCTCTTTTTCCCATGACCAGAATGAAGAAAAAGGCAGCCAGTCCATAAACATGTCCAGCATTGTTCTCAGTGCTGGGGGGGAAGTTATCACCCTCTCTCTGACTCTCATGAGAGGAAACAGTCATTAAAGATGTTAACAATACAAATTTCAAGTGCTAGTAAGTGCTGTGATGAGGATAATCAGAGTAATATAATACAGGGTGACTGACTGGGTTGATGCGTAAGACAGAATGGCCAGAGAGGGTCTCTGAGAAGGCAGCATAAGAAGATAAGAATGTTGAGAAGGCAGCAATCTGTGAAGGCCTGTGAAGGATTGTTTCAAGCTGAGGGCATAACAAATTCAAAGTCTCTGAGATGATAGCAAGCTTGGTTGAAGGTCAGAAAGAAGGCCGGTGGCTGGAATAGGGAATGATAGAGTGAGACAAGCCAGAAGTTATGACAAGAAGGTGGAATTTTATTTAAGTTGTAAAGGTAAACATTATAGGAATGTAAAAAGACCTGTTTTAGAATGTCGAAAGCTCATTTTGGCTGCTTTATGGAGAAGTAGACAGGAAAGGAGAAGGCAGAAAGCCCAGGTAAAAGGTTATTATAGTCCTGGAGAAACATGTTAGTTACTTGTACTAGGTTTGTAGAAATGGAAATTGAGAACTATGGTCAGATTTGAGGTGCAGTTTTGGGATTATGCTAATAGGAGCTACTCTTCGATTGGACATAGAGTGTAAGGAAACAACAAAATTTTGGTTTGCCTAGCTAGAAGGATAGATGTGTCACTTACTGAGGTAGAAAATACTCAGAGATGATCATGGGGTTTAGGTATCATGGGTAAATAATTAATTGGGTTTGTGGCATATTAAATTTAAGATACCTATTAGGTATTTAAATAGAGATGCCTTGAAGGCAATTGGACACATAAAGATGGAGCTTAGGAGAGAGATCTGGATGGGCTATGGATGCTGAGGTAAGAATCATATGCTACCCATGGGATTAGATGAGGTGGTCTCTTAGTTTGCTAGCATTGCCATAGCAAAGCATCATAGTCTGGGTGGCTTAAACCGCAGAAATTTATTTACTCACATCCTGGAGGCTGGAAGTCTAAGATCAAGTTCTTGGCAGGGTTGATTTTCTGAGGCCTCTCTCCTTGCCTTGCAGGTCACCAGCTTCTCCCTTTGGGTTTATATGGCTTCCTGTGTCTGTTCATATCCTAATCTCCTCCTCCTTTTTTTTTTTTTTTTTTGAGACGGAGTTTCCCTCTTGTTACCCAGGCTGGAGTGCAATGGCGCGATCTCGGCTCACCGCAACCTCCGCCTCCCAGGTTCAGGCAATTCTCCTGCCCCAGCCTCCTGAGTCGCTGGGATTACAGGCACGCACCACCATGCCCAGCTAATTTTTTGTATTTTTAGTAGAGACGGGGTTTCACCATGTTGACCAGGATGGTCTCGATCTCTTGACCTCATGATCCACCTGCCTCGGCCTCCCACAGTGCTGGGATTACAGGCTTGAGCCACCGCGCCCGGCCATCTCCTCCTTCTTAAAAGAGCACCAATCGTATTGCATTAGGGCCTACCCTTATGACCTCATTTTCTTAATTACCTGTTTTTAAATACAGTCACTTTCTGAAGTATTGAAGGTTGGGACTTTAGCATATGAATTTTGTGGGGACACAGTTCAGTCCATAACATGGCCTAAAGGAAGAGTATACATAATAGACCCCTGGAGCACCGAGCTTTTGGTGGTACGAGAAGTGAGCCAGCTGACCAAAGAGTGGCCCATGCGGTAGGAGAACCAAACTCTGTCATAGGAGCTTAGAGAAGAAAATGTTTCAAGAAAGACTTGATCAGCTGTGGCACAGGATCCTGGGATGTCACGCTAGCTAAGCACAGAGAATTACCCCTGACTTTTGTTTTCCCTGAAAAATAGATGAGCTTATTTACCTCAAGTTAGATGGCTCTCAAACAATGTTGTGACTATGCTTCATGCTTGGTTGCCTCTCATCTGGAGAGGCATATCAGGCACCACCAACAGCACTTGTGTTTCAGTGGTGTGCGTGTGTGTCTGTGTGTATGTCTGTGTGTGTAGAGGGAGTCTTGCTCTGCTGCTAGGGCTGGAGTACAGTGGTATGATCTCAGCTCACTGCATCCTCCTCCTCCGGCGCTCAAGTGATCCTACCACTTCAGGCTCCAAAGTAGCTGGAACTACAGGCATGCACCACCGTGCCTGGCTAATTTTTTTTTATTTTTTGTAGAGATGAGGTTTCACCATGTTGCCCAGGCTGGTCTCAAACTTCTGTGTTTATACAGTCCACCCACCGTGGCCTCCCAAAATGCTATGATTACAAGACATGAGCCACAATGCCTGGCCAAATGGCTTTACTATACTGAATATTTTGTTTTCAGTTTACGAATAAATCAATTAAATATAATGGAACAAATTGAACAGATATATTTGAATTGAATATGTCTAGTAACTGGTTCACATGTCCGTAAGGCCAGCATCAAATGGACAAAAAGTAAGAAAATAGATGTTGTAAACTAACATGGGAAAATGGTCACTCTTCATTACTAAAGAAGAAAATACTAAATAATGGCTACATTTCACACCTATTAAATTCTCTAAAAATTAGCCAGTTAGTTCATAAGACTTTGAGGAAATTGGGTCATTTATGTGATTTTGTAAAGCATTAATTGGTATAATTCTTATTATAGAAGTCAGTTTACCAGTGCACAGCAAGAGCCATTAAAATGCTCATTTTTGGCTGGGTTTGGTGGTTCATGCCTGTAATTCTAGCTGGGAGGCCGAGGCAGGAGGATTGCTTGAGCCCAGAAGTTTGAGACCAGCTTGGGCAACATAGTGAGAACTTGTCTCTATAAAAAATAAAAAAAATTAGCTGTGTATGGTGACATGCACCTATGATCCTAGCTACTCGGGTGTCTGAGGTGGCAGGATCGCTTGAGCTCAGGAGGTCCAGGCTTCAATGAGCCATGATCATGCCACTGCACTCCTGCCTGGGTGACAGAGTGAGACCCTGTCTTGAAAAACAAAACAAAAACTCATTTTCTTTGGTTCCAGTACATTTATTTATGTCACAAGTAATACTGCAATGAATATCCATATGTATCCTTAAAAACTGTGTATAAGGATGTTCATTGCAGTGTACTTATACATTAAAAATTAGAATTCATGGCCAGGCGCAGTGGCACTTTGGGAGGCCAAGGTAGGCAGATCACTTGAGGTCAGGAGTTTAAGACCAGCCTGGCCAACATGGTGAAACACCGTCTCTACTAAAAATACAAAAATTAGCTGGGCATGGTGGCACATGCCTATAATTCCAGCTACTCAGGAGGCTGAGACAGGAGAATTGCTTGAACCTAGGAGGTAGAGGTTGCAATGAGAGCCGAAATTATGCCACTTCACTTCAGCCTGGGTGACAGAGCAAGACTCCATCTCACACACACACAAAAAAAGAAAAGTAAAAAAGAAAAAAAAATAGTATTTATTATATATCCTTAGAGTGGGTAATGATCAGCTAATACCAGAACATAATGAACTAATATAAAAGTATTAAAGATGAAGGTTAGTGATGAAGGCTAAAGATTAAATTCTTATAATGCAATAGAAAATATAGAATTCTAAATTTTCTCTATGTAAATAGGCAGAAAGTTGCAGAGGAAATAGAAAAATTGACACAATTGTATTAAGGAAGTGGACCTCCAAATCAGTGTTTGTCCTTTAGAAATTCTCTGGGGTTTTTTTTTGTTTGTTTGTTTTTTGAGACCAGGTCTTACTGTGTTGCTCAGGCTGGAGTATGTTGCGGCGGTCATGGCCCACTGCAGCCGCAACCTCCTGGGCTCAGGTGATTCTCTCATCTCAGTCTCCCAAGTAGCTGGGAACTGCAGGCACGCACCACCACACCTGGTAACGTTTTTGTATTTTTTGTGGAGACGGGGTTTCACCATGTTGCCCAGGCTGGTCTCAAACTCCTAGGTTCAAGCAATCTGCCTGCCTCAGCCGCTGAAAATGTAAAAATTGTTTTTTATATTACCATATGGTTTTAATAATAACTAAGTGGGATAATTATGATAGCCTTCCTCTAAATTACATTGTCTCGGTATACTTGATTTCCACAAACCCGAAGCCAGTCTGATCAATCATAAATGAGACCGAACATCTTTTTTCATGCAAATGGACGGAAGGATTTATGTTTATAGCCAATGTCCTAAAATTTTACTTAAACTTCTGTGGTAATTCTTAATAATAGAGATAAATGTAACGTGAAACATATGTATAATGGATGGGCAATGGAATTACAGGGGAGAGATTTTTCTCTGGACAGGTAAGATCAGGTAAGTCAGCAATCATGGCTTCATTTGTACCATTCTCTGATAGCATGAGGTAGCTTTCTTAGAGACCTGAGAATAGAGCAAAGAAAATAGAAGCAAAAAGATGAGAGAGGAAATTTACTGGGAATACTCAGGACTAGAGTTTAAGAAAAGAACATAATATGGCTAGAGATAGTCTGGAACATTTTTGTTTGATTTGGAACAAATGTAAATACCCACCATATGTTAATATTACTGTATTGTTGCCTGAAATACTGTACCAGGTTGTATCTGTGTTTTTTTCTAGCTCCATAAAATTCTAGGAGATAAGGTGAACAATACTGCTGTAATTGAAAAGCAAGTACTAGAACTTTGGGACAGACTGTATCACTCTTGGTTTATAAAGGTAAGTTACTTTTGCCGAGGTTTTCTGTTGTAAACTAATAAAGCCCTTTTACTGACTCATTAACTAGATAGGATTGTATTTTATTCATCAAAATTTTAAAACTGCAAAACCTGAAGCCTCAGGTCATTAAAAGTCAGTGTGAGGTGATGGGTATTGTCCCTAGCAGAACCTGCCTATCTCTGGTGCGTTGGTATTCTATTGTTAGTCTGCTGTCATCTAAAAGTTTAGAGATCTTTCTTTTAGTTTTTATTCTTGTTTTTTGAGACAGGGTCACGCTCTGTCTCCCAGCCTGGAGTGCAGTTGTGTGATCTCGGCTTACTGTAACCTCCGCCCCTTGGGCTTAAGTGATCCCCCTGCCTCAGCCTCCCCAGGATTACAGGTGCACGCCACCATGCTCAGTTAATTTTTTGTATTTTTTTGTAGAGACGGGGTTTTGCCATGTTGCCCAGGCCATCCTATACACTAGATCTGGCAGGGCCTGTGGGCTAGCAGGAACTGTGCTGTGTATAGAGTGGGCAGAGTTGGTGGTGGTTTTTCTCAAAGTTGATGTAAGGAGAGCAAGTGTATATATAAATCTTTTAATGTAGGATGGAGGGGGAGGAGGGCTGATTTTAAATTTGAATTTGTTGCTTAGTGACTTGTTTGGGATTATGTACTCTTTCTTTGGGATGAATTGAGGGAATGGTGTTAGTTTTTGTAGACTTCAAAGACTTGGGAAAAAATATTCAGGGAATATCTAGGTGAGTATCGTAGATTTGATCCCAACTGCTGAAAAACCAGATAATAAGAAAGGTGTATCTATTTCTTTTGCTAACTCTGGGGCTTGTACTTAAAGACAAATAGCTTTTACTGCCCCTCATACCTCATGAGGTTTATTTTACAGTAGAGCAAGGTCAGTGTTTTATAAGCGTAGGTTTGTTAAGTGGTTAAGTACAGTTGTCCCCCAGTATTATGGGTGATTGGTTCTAAGACACCCTACTGGTACCTGGTACCAAAATTCAGGGGTGCTTACGTTCCTTGTACAAAATGGCATATTTGTTGGCTGGGTATGGTGGCTCATGCCTGTAATCTGGCTGTTTGGGAGGCTGAGGTGGGAGGATCACATGAGGCTGGGAGCTTCAGACCAGCCTGGGCAACATAGTGAGACGCCATCTCTACAAAAAATTAGCTGGGTGTGGTGGTGTGTGCCTGTAGTCTTAGCTACTCAGGAAGACTGAGGCGGGAGGATCACTAGAGCTCAGGAGTTGGAGGCTGCAGTGAGCTATGACCACACCATTGCACTCCAGTCTAGCCTGGTGACAGAGCAAGACCCTGTCTCTCAAAAAAAGGAAGACAACATTCCTACCATCATGCCTGGCTAAATTTTAAATTTTTATAAGGATGGGGTCTCACTATGTTGGTCTTGAACTCCTAGGCTCAAGTGATCTTCTTGCCTTGGCCTCCCAAAGTGCTAGGATTATAGGTGTGAGCCATTCTACCTAGCCCTTATCTCTTTCAAATTTAGTTATTCTTGTATCTCTGCCAGTGTCTTCCAGATAGACGAATTCTGTTTACTGCCGTACTCTTGCTTGTTATATTCTTCTCTCCTCATTTTCCTTATCTTGTATGGAAAATTAGAAAGATGAGGAAAAAGCAAAGATCAAGAGAAAGGTGGAAGGCCCAAAAACTTAAAAAAGAAAAATGAAAGTCAATGCTGTGTTTAGTGCGTTGTCGATACTGAGGAATAAGATGTGTTTGCAAATGTATTTAGGAGGGAAGCAGAGGAGCAAGACTTAGACAGGGTACCTAGAAGCTAAACAAAAGATTTTTATATTTCGGGTCTTTAAATGAAGTTCTTGGCTGATTTCTTACATGATGCAAAGTTGTTCTCCTTGCAGTACTTACTGAAGTGATTAAGGAGAACTGAAACAAAATGGGACATTGATACTTTCTGTTTTTTAGGTTAAGATGGGAATTTCATGTCTGCACTGTTTTATTCCATAGAATGTAACACACTCTGGAAGGCACAAAGGACAGAAGCTGCATGTCAGTCGTCAGAATAGCTGGCTGGGAGACATTCTGGACTGGCAGGATATCGCTTCCTTTGTTCACGAGAACATTGAGACATTTCTTTCGGTAAGAAATAGTATTTATAAAAACAAACTCTAATTGCAGTTTTCTTTATACACTTTGAGGCCTCAGTTATCCTGTTTTTAACGTAACGACATTTACAGGTTTGAGAACTCCAAATGGACTAGGGTGATGTTCAAAAGCCACAGGCCTCAGATGTCACCCCCCTGGTATTTGCCCTGTGGTTGTAGAGTAGCTGAGAGATGCTGAGTCCTGAGGTATGTGAGTGATGCTGTGGGCTGCCAGATTCTCAGATAGAGATCCCCATCCTCCCGCTAGGATGACCAGAATGTCTCCAGCTGGACTACTAGGGAGGGACCTGCCTATGTGGTGTGCGAAGATCCTTGACCAGATGGAAATATGGTTCCAGTTACATTGGAGGGATGGAATGTGTTGAATGAGTAGCTTGTACCATCCCACCTAACCTCCCACCATGCACCATCACCTCTGCCGTCTTGCAGCATTCCTAAGTACTAACTACTCTTCCTCATTCTGTAGCATATTTTGTGAGGTATCCTTGGCATGTTGAATTTCACAGAGAGCAATTTTCTTGTGCATAAACTTGTTTCTTTCATCAAGTGAACAAAAATTGATGTTTGCAGTACTAAATTTTTTAAAATTAACTAATTAATGTTTTTGAGATGGAGTCTTGCTCCGTTGCCCAGGCTGGAATGCATTAGTGTGACCTCAGCTCACTGTAATCTGCACCTCCTGAGCTTGAGGGATTCTCCTGCCTCAGCCTCCCAAGTAGCTGGGATTACAGGTATGCACCACCACACCCAGCAATTTTTTTTTATATATTTTTAGTAGATACAGGATTTTTCCATGTTGGCCAAAACTAGTCTCGAACTCCTGACCTCAAGTGATCCTGCCTGCCTTGGCCTCCCAAAGTGCTGGAATTATAGGCGTGAGCCACCACACCTGGCCTAAATTTAATTTTTATCAAAGTAATACATGACCATAACTGAAAAGGCAACAACACTGAAAGATTTTAATTAAAAAACGGCAGTGCCCTGCTGTATGCCTTCCGATTTCCCGTCTTTTTCTTCAGAAACAACTGTCAGTTCTTTTAGGTTTCCCTGGGTATTTACCTCTGAATTTTTAAAATAATATTTATGCTGCTCTTTCTTTGTTTTGTAGTTTTAGATGTTATCTTTTGGCTTCTTAATGTGGAAGATGAAGGCAAAGATGTGACCTTTTTCTAAGTCCTTCAGTGCTTTCTTATACCTCCCTTGGGGTTGTCTTACGACTCCTTTGGCCCCTAACTCTGTCCTTAAGGTCACATTCTCCCCTTCTTCCTGTTCACCTGATACAGCTAAAGCAGCTTGGAATTAAATCTAGAAATTCATGTCCTAACATTTTAATTTAATTTTATGTTTTTATGTAATAGAGACAGGGTCTTGCTATATTGCCCAGGCTGGTCTTAAACTCCTGGCCTCAAGTGATCCTCCTGCCTCAGCTGTCCAAAGTGCTGGGAATACAGGCATGAACCACCACACCTCGCTGTTTTTGTTTTATGTTTTTGATAATTCCTTTCCTCTATTTCCTCTAATGTAGTGGTTCTCAAAACTTTTTGGTCTGATTGCATGTTAGTTGTTCAGTAAATAATAACATTATGTGTGAATATGAATAATATACTTTTTGTTTGTGGAAAAATACTATTTTCTAAAACCAAAAAGATTTAGTGAGAAGGGTAGCTTTCTTTTACATTTTTGCAAATCTGTTTCATGTCTGGATTCTCATGGATGCTCCTGCGTTGAATCTATAGGAATATGTTTGTTTTGATTGAAGTATTATGAAGAAAATTCAACCTCACAAAGATATGTCACTGGGAAAGAGAGGTGTCTTTTAATAGCGTTTTCAGATAATTGTGGCTATTCTTCTTTGATATTACCCAAAACTCAACAAGTGGTTTTTTTTTTTTTTTAAGTCGAGACTGAGTCTTGCTCTGTCGCCCAGGTGGGAGTGCAATGGCACGCTCTTGGCTCACTGCAACCTCTGCCTCCTGGGTTTGAGCAATTCTCATGCCTCAGCCTCCTGAGTAGCTGGGATTACAGGCATGCACCACCAAGCCTTTCTATTTTTATTTTTATTTTTTTTGTATTTTTAGGAGAGACAGGGTTTTGCCATGTTGTGCAGGCTGGTCTTGAACTCCTGAGCTCATGTAGTCTGCCTGCCTCAACCTCCCAAAGTGCTGGGATTACAGGTGTAAGCAACTGTGCCCAGCCAAAAGCTCACATTTTATTAACAAATACTATCAGTTGTTTTCTTTGTAGAGACAGGCTCACCTTATTCATCTTTGAGAAAATTTCTGCCAGATATCAAGTCTGTCAGTCATTCTTTTATGCAGAAATGGTGATTAGTGAAAAGATCGACTAGTTCAACTCCCAATTCAATCATACGAGCACTTTTTCCTCCAACGACTGTCTCACTTCGGTAAGCAGCAGAGGTGCTTTGTCACACAGAATATTAATATTAGACAGGCACTAAAGGGTGAGTATTTAATACAATTAATAACTTTTACTGCTCCCTAAAGAACATTCTTAAGTGAAACTGGTGCTGAGTTTATGGTGAGGAAGAATACAGTGAACACTAACTAGAACAGTTAGGTGTCATGCCTTGAGTCCTGCACAAGACCCAGCAGTTTCACTTGTGATTGATTACTTTTCACCATCAGTGCAGATGTTAACACGTTGAAAAGGTACATGTTTGAGTAAGGAAATAGTTTTGTCCTCATAGACCCCGAAAAAGATCTTGGCAACTGTAGTTGTCCAGTGGCCACGCTTTGAGAACCACTCATCTGACTTTCTGACTAAGCACTGTCAGTCAGATGTTGGGCCTTTGACATGGATTCCTTAATTTTGAAAGCTTCTTTTCCGTTTTCTCTTTCCCCTGAGAAATAGCTTCAGCTTGCCTTTGAAACCGTGATTGAATTTTTTATTTCTTCTATCATACGAGTGGTATCAAACAGCTCTTTCTTCTGAACCATCCTTTTTTATTTAAGAATATTACCAATAAAATATTTAAAATGTCCTCTGCTCTCTGTTTGCTCTGCGTTTCTTTAGTTTGTTTTGCTTTCTCTTTTGTTACATGTCTGGTGATCCTTGGCAGTGTGTTCCTTTTTAAGAGTGCAACACTAAAAACAGCTGGGAGGTCCTTGCCAGTTCAGCCTGTAGAAAAGCCCATGAGTCAGTCAGCAGGCTCCACCCAGTATCCTGGACCTTCCAGTTGGCTCTTTAATGCCAATGCATACACAAAATTGTGTGTCATCTAATAATACCTTTGAATGTTTGCTTTCCCCCCAAATTCAGGTATGCTAACTAAATATATTGAGTCCCTTTTTGTTTTGTTTTGTGCCTGTAGTTGAATTTAAAAGCATCTGTTATTGATGAAGTGACATAGTTGAATCACATTAAGACAGATGATAAAGAAAAATGATTAAATTTTATAAATTCCTATGGAAAGAGAATAGGCAGTTTTTGAAACTAAAATAACAGTTTTGCCATGTAGTCCTCCAAAAAGACAAGTAAAATTTCTGTATGCCTAAACGCATTTATACATTGAGTAATGGACAGTTCAAGGAATAGATGGTTGTTTAGTAGTTTTTGTATCAAATATTGTGCTAGGCGCTTAATATTTTCTAATTTAATTCTCCCAGTGGTTCTGCAAAACTAGTATAATGCCTTCATTTTAATAACAAAAAACAGGCTCAGAGGTGTTAAATAGCATGGTAAATAACAGTTGATATTCAAATTCAGTTCATCTTTCACTGGGTACAGAGGCCAGACTTTTAATATAATATTGTGTTATCTTTCAAACTGTATTTCATTTTCTAGAGAACTGAACATTTCTTAGTCTCATGCCTTTACATTTTTATTTGCTTTCTTTTGTTAGGATTTTTGGGGGATATTGTTGTAAATAGGTGGCTTAATTTCAGTCTCATTCATGAAATCTTCCCAGTGTATGTCAGAACACATTGAGGTCTTTCTACTTTCAAACTCCTTTTGCATTTATTGTTTTCACCTTTCTTTTGATACCTGAACATATTTTACATTCTTTTTCCATTTTCGACACTTCAGTGTCTATACCTAATCTTCCAGACTAGACATTAAGTTTTTGGAGGTAAAAGGAATCTCATTTATCACTACCTTAGAATTTAGTATGGTGTTAGGTCCTCAATTAAACTAATTAAGAGAAGCACGTTAGGCAGTAGTGCAGTGGTTTAACTGTGGCTTACTGCATCTTGGACCTCCTGGGCTCAAGCCATCCTTCTGCTTCATCCTTTTGCTTCTTCCTTCTGAGTAGTTGGAACTGCAGGCATACACCACCACACCCAGCTGAGTTTAAAATTTTTTTTGTGGAGATGGGGTCTTGCTATGTTGCACAGGCTGGTCTTGAACTCCTGAGCTCAAGCTATCCTTTCACTTTGGCCCTTGCAAAGTGCTGGGATTACAGGCATGAGCCACAGTGCCCAGACAATAATTATTTTTGTATTTAGAAGCATAGTGGCTGAGTCGAAATGGTGTTTTGAGGTCACCGGACTTATCTCCCTTCCTTTTAGATAGATAAAGATTGGAACTAGAAAAGGATAGCAGAGCTCACGTGGACCATCAACCCCAGGCTCCCTCTGGACCCTCTTGAGGCAGCCAGAGGTGGCTCAGTTCTGCCAGGAAAGGCATTTTCTCTTATTTAGACCTCTGTATCCCAGCAATATCCTGTTCCTCTGTTTTTCTAAACTATTACCTTTGAATCTCCTTCAGTGGCTCCATAGAAGGTGGGCTGATGGCTCTTAATAAGCACTAGGAAACCAAATTAATAATCAAAAGGTTGTTTGGTGAGCGGTAGACTCAGAGTAAAGGGCTACATAGCCACTGGAGGTGGCGAGGCCTTGTTGGTCAGTTCTTATCCACAGTAGAGATCACCTTTCATGACCACATTGCTTAGTTGGTTCAGTAAGTCTCTTGGGCTTTTCATAAGTTTCATAATGAACTCTTTTTGACATTCTTCCAGTACTTAACATTGCTATTGTTGATTAAAGTGATACCAGACCTGCCTCATGTTTTCCACTTCTTAATTGGCATCCTTTTTTTTTGAGACAGAGTCTCACTTTGTCGCCCAGGCTGGAGTGCAGTGGCGTGATCTCAGCTCACTGCAACCTCTGCCTCCTAGGTTCAAGCAGTTTTCGTGCTTCAGCCGGCTGAGTAGCAGATTATAAGTGTATGACACTACACTCAGCTAATTTTTTCTATTGTTAGTAGAGATGGGGTTTCACCATGTTGGCCAGGCTGGTTTCAAACTCCTGGCCTCAAGTGATCTGCTCGCCACGGTCTCCCAAAGTGCTGGGATTACAGGTGTGAGCCACCATGCCCAGCCTGAGTTGGGATATATTTTGTCTGCATAAATCTGTTCTGTTTTCAGAGTTTCACGGGCCTTGCTATTATGCCTGCCTTTATCCATTTTCTCCTCTCTAAGCCTGGCATATAAATTAAAACCACTTTACTTTAAGGATTTAGTTAATATTCTGAAAATGTTTTTTCCTCTATTTTCTCCGGTTGATTCTTTCAAGTAAGAAGGGTTACTTGATTGTTGTTGGAGACTACCAGTCTAAAATTAATGTATTCAGTTAATTTCTTAAGAATTACCACAAGGTATTTTCTCTGAGTGCATGCCTGAAACTATTTAAATTTTTTTTTTAATAAAAATTCCAAAATGACTGAAGCTGCAAAAAGAATGCTTGTCAGAATCACAAGTAAAGGCATTGTTGGCTTGTTTCTTAGAACCGATGGCATTGTTCATTCATTCTTTATCCCACGAGGTCAAGTAGTCAATCTTGCATATTTTTGTAGGCATTGTGAAACATTTTCAAGATTTTATGTGAGGAGTTTTTGTAAATGAAACCAGCCTGCCAGAGCTCTCTTATGAAACTGAGCTGAGGTTTGCAGGAAATGGTGAGGGCAACAAAATATGCCTTTATAAATGGTACATCTGAAGTAGGAAAGGAATGGAGAGGACTTTTCATAGAACAGATGGAATAACTTGAACATATGACAAAAACCAGAACTGCTGTTTTGGAAAGGGCACCAAAACAAAAATCAGATGTTGTGAGTTCTGTCCCGCAACATCTGAGCTCTGAGATCTAGTTCAACTTGTTAGCTTTGTGCCCTTGATCAAGTTTTTTTTTAAAAATTGTGAGCTTCAACTTACATAACTACAAAATGAGGTAATATCGTCTGCACTTCTCTCATGGCATTGTTGTGAAGTTTATGGAAGCATTTTAGAAATGGTAATGGAAGGCCATTGGTAATGGTAATTTTCTGGTCATTTTGCTTCTGTATTTTTCATAAGAGGAAGGATAGTCCACTTGGGAAGAATAGAACAGATATCATAATAAGGGGATTTGAGATCGTAAATGAAACGTGCAGGTGTGCTATAGATATTGTATCTCCTTTATTAATAATATATATGAGAAACCTTACTCCTGATATCTGGTTCTAGTGAATGTGTAGGTGACAAATCAGCTGAACTCAGTAGACCTCGATATACTGATCATTGTCTCAAGAAAGATTTTTGGCCTCAGAGCACTGCTCTTGTCCCTGTCTGTTCATTGCTTTTATTGTGATTTAATGAAGTCATTGAGGTGATGCTTTTTATATTTGTAGATGGGTCTAAGTTGGAAATGGCCAGGGTGGGGGCTAGACAGCTTATAAAACACATACTGGAATTTCACTTAAGATCCTGCAAGATAAATATAACCACAGGTTGTACTCTAGCATATCCTCCTGTAGGTAAAGTCATGACGTGTGTCACATAATAATATCTCTGTTAACGATGGGGCACATAGACAATCATGGTCCCATAAGATGATAGTACTGTATTTTTACTGAACCTTTAAGATGTTTAGATATACAGATACCTGTGTTGTGGTTGCCTGTGACATTCAGTACAGTAACATGCTACAAAGTTTATAGTTTAGGAGCAGTAGGTTGTCCCTTACAGCCTAGGATGTGCCAGGCTTTACCATTTAGGTTTGTATCGGTATACTCTATGACGTTTGCAGGATGAAATTGCCTAATGACACATGTCTCAGAATGTGTCTCCATCATTAAGTGATGCATTATTATATCCTCTGCTTGCCATTTCTACAAAGCTACAGTGATTTTTTTTTTTTTTTAGCTGGAGTCTTGCTCTTGCTGCCCAGGCTAGAGTGCAGTGGTGCATCTTGGCTCACTGCAGCCTCCGCCTCCTGAGTTCAAGTGATTCTTCTGCCTTAGCCTCCCAAATAGCTGGGATTACAAGCATGCACCACCACGCTTGGCTAATTTTGTATTTTTAGTAGAGACAAGGTTTTATCATGTTGGTCAGGCTGTTCTCCAACTCCTGACCTCAGGACATCTACCTGCATTGACCTCCCAAAGTGCTGGGATTACAGGCATGAGCCACCATGCCCCACCAATTATATATAAAATTTTTTAATCCTGCTTTTTAAATTTAGCATTATATTGTAAAATATTTTCCCACATTATAACAGAGATGTTTTTAATGGCTGTCTGTATTATTTGGTTTGGATTCACCATTTTCTTACT